CTTGATTGGCTGGAAGCCCATAGTGTAATGGAAGTCCATTGGGGCTAGAAGTGGATACAGCTCCAACATCAGGGCAATACTATTCATTTAGTGGGTATTCTGCCGGATCTGACAGCTAGAGTAGTCTTACAGCTATGTTCTCTTAATCCTCAGTAGCTTTCTGATCCTCCTGCTTATCCTGTCGAAGTTCAGCAACCGATCCAAGATTACTTAGGGTTGTTTGATCCGCCAAATCAGTTGTCTCCTTCTTGCAATTGTGATCATTCAATTCCCCTAGTTCCTGGAGCAGCTCTGATCTATTCTCGTCCTTACCGTTTCTCCCTAGCTATCAAGGATGAGGTGGAGAAACAAGTCAAGGAAATGTTGGCCTCAGGTATTATTCAAAAGAGCACCAGCCCATTCTCTTCTACAGTACTGTTGGTCAGAAAAAGGACAATACAGGGAGGTTCTATGTCGATTACCGGCAACTGAATGCTATCACCATTAAAGGCAAATATCCAATACCCATAATTGATGAGCTTCTTGATGAGTTGGCTGGAGCTTCTTGGTTTTCTAAACTCGATTTGCGCTCTGGTTTTCACCAGATTCAGTTGAAGCCCGGTGAGGAGTTCAAAACCGTATTTCAAACTCATTTTGGACAGTTTGAGTTCAGAGTCATGCCGTTTGGCCTCATGGGAGCACCTGGAACATTTCAAGATGCCATGAATTCAACTCTGGCTCCTTTTCTCTGGAAATTCGTATTGGTTTTCTTCGATGATATCCTGATATTCAGTTCATCCTATGAGGAACATCTTCACCACCTGCAGTTGGTCTTTCAGCAGCTTCAAGATCATGACTAGAAGATCAAACTTGCTAAATGTGAGTTCTCCAAGCAAAGTATTGCATATCTCGGCCATGTCATTACTCCAGCAGGGGTTACCACTGATCCTTAGAAAGTAGCGGCTATGGTCAATTGGTGTACTCCTCAGTCAGTTAAAGATTTACGTAGTTTTTTGGGTTTAGCCAGGTATTATAGAAAATTTGTCCGCAATTTTGGTGTCATTGCAAAACCGTTGACCGAGTTGTTAAAAAAGAACACCTTGTTCATCTGGACTTCTTCCCACGATCAGTCCTTCCAAGCACTAAAGCAAGCCCTGAGTTCTTCACCAGTCCTTGCTTTGCCTGACTTCTCCAAGTCATTTAGCATTGAGATGGATGCTAGTGCCAGTGGTATTGGTGTTGTTCTTACTCAGGAGGGTCATCCATTGGCGTTTCTCAGCAAAGCATTGGGACCCCATTCTCGTGGGCTGAGTACTTATGAGAAGGAATACATGGCGGTTTTGATGACCGTACAACAGTGGCGTTCTTATCTACAACATGCTGAATTCACCATTTTTACTGATCAGCAAAGCCTTGTCCAACTTACTGACCAGCGTCTGCATACATCATGGCAACAGAAACTCTTTTCTAAGCTCGTTGGTCTACAATTTCGCATTGTATACAAGCCAGGTGCTGCAAACCAAGTAGCTGATGCTTTGTCTCGTAAGAGTTTTCATGATTCATCCTGTGCTGCTATTTCGGTGGTTGCCCCTACTTGGATACAAGAGGTGGTGTCAGGGTATGCTACTGATCCTATGTCATCAGAGATGATAGCAAAGCTAACCATTGATTCTGCAGTCGTGCCAGGATTTTCTCTATGAGAAGGTGTTCTCCGTCAGGGTCCACGTATTTGGATTGGGGACAACAAGGTACTGCAGTAGAAAATTCTCCATGCCATCCATGCCAGCGCCTTGGGGGGTCATTCTGGATTTTCGACAACATATACTCGGTTGAAGCAGATATTCCAGTGGCATGGCATGAAATCTGCTACCCGAGACTTCGTTCAAGCTTGTATTACTTGTCAATAGGCTAAGCCCGATCGAACTCATTTGCCTAGTCTCCTTCAACCTCTGCCAGTACCTGTCGCTGCTTGGCAAACTATATCTATGGATTTCATTGAGGGGCTGCCCCGCTCTGGTAATGTTAACTGCATTCTCGTTGTGGTAGATTCCTTCACTAAGTATGGCCACTTCTTGCCCTTGCTCCATCCGTTTACAGCTACTGTAGTGGCTAAGCTATTTCTCAACAATGTTTATCGCTTGCATGGTCTACCCACTGCCATTATATCTGATAGGGATCGTATCTTTACCAGTCAATTTTGGCGTGAGCTATTCCGTTTGGCTGATGTCTCTTTGCAGATGAGTTCAAGCTATCACCCGCAGTCTGATAGTCAGTCTGAGTGCCTCAATCAGACCATGGAGACCTTCTTACGCTGTTTTGTCAATGCATGCCCGGCTAAATGGTCCTCTTGGATTGCTTTGGCGGAATTCTGGTACAATGCTTCCCCTCATTTTGCACTTGGTTGTTCTCCTTTTGAAGCTCTTTATGGATACCCACCTCGTCATTTTGGAATATCTATCTTGGATGATGTGGCTGTACCTGAACTATCTTCTTGGCTTCAAGATCGTCAAGTTATGACGGATTTGATCCGTCAGCACCTAGCTCGAGCCAAACAACGTATGAAATGTCAAGCTGACAAGAAACGTTCTGAACATCAATTCAGTGTTGGTGATATGGTGTTTGTCAAGCTTCAACCTTATGTTCAGTCTACTCTGGCCCCTCGATCTAATCAGAAGTTGTCCTTCAAATTCTATGGTCCATTCCAGATCATGGAGCGCATTGGTTCTGTGGCATATAAGTTGCTTTTGCCAAGATCAGCTGCTATCCACCCGGTGTTTCATGTTTCGCAATTGAAAGCTGCGGTTCATCCTCAGGTCCAGGTATCTCCATCCTTACCAGCTGACATTGAGTTGCCTCGGGTTCCTATGGAAGTTTTGCAGCGTCGTGTCATGCCTACTGCTAATGGTTCGGTGGAGCAAGGCCTGATCCTCCGGTCTGGCTGGCCGTCTGACATGGCAACCTGGGAGAATTTGCTTTAGCTGCGTCAAGCCTTTCCAAGAGCTCCTGCTTGGGGACAAGCAGGCTTCCAAGGACCGGGGGTGTTAACGGCCCATCTACGACAGCTACTTCAGAAGAAGCGGCCCAAGTACCTCGGGTTGGATCACGCACTCGCTGGCCCAACGTTCGTCTAGCTGGCGCTGAGTGGTTGTGAGTGTGCCTGCGAGCACCTGCGGGCGAAAAGCCTTGTATATAGATGCCACCAGAGAGAAGGAGAGATCATCAGGAATTTTGTAATTAGATTCTAAACTCTCAAGCACTCATCCTTCCTGCCTGATTGCTGTGCTGTTCGCCTGAACCTTTTCCCAATTTGCTTCTATTTCCAGTAGTACTGCTGACAGAAATCTGCACGAATTCAACCAAGATCAGACAGAAAGCTCATGCTTGGTTCAGTACCACAGAATACAGCCTGAAGCCCTGAACCTCCACACCTTGTCACGGAGGTTCGCGTCGAGGGCGACGTTGCTTCTCTTCACTGTGCCTGACCCTGACGCCGTGACGCGAACAGCAGGTCAGCAGCATCGTCGAGCCTCGAGCCCTCGACCGGACATGGCCTCGACTGTGGCGGTGGGCCAAGAGCCCAAGACATCCTTCTTCCTCGTGTGTCCATGGTTGCGTCGCTCTTGCTCATTTGCTGGGTGTAGCCCGCCGTGCTCTTCCACCGTGACCGTACCTCGCCCTCTCCCGCCGTTGACCCTTCGGAGTTTGCCATGGTCGCAGCGTCGTGCTGTCACGCCACGCAGCGCTGCAGACGTTGGATGCGCGCGCCGTGAGCCCGTGACCAACCGACCGGAGGCCATGGTTCTGATCTCCCTGCCGCTCCACGCCATATGCCACTAACGTCACCGCGGCAACCGGACCAGATCCTCCGCGCGCGGTGGCCGGCCCAGCCCTCCTCCGGTGAGTCCGGTCAGCCAGCGTCCCTCTCTTCCACGTCGAAGCCTCGACCCTTGAACACCTCCGGCACGGTGCGAGAGCCATGTCTCTCTCATTCCTCTCATCTAGGCGCCGCAGCCTCCACCTCCTCCGCACGGCGCAGGGCGTGGCAACTAGCAAGGCGTGGCGCAAGTAAGCCTGGCGCGTGGGAACGGAGCACTCCTGCCGTCCTGCGTCCCAGACTAGAGCCGTGGAGACGTGGAGTGGCTGGATGAGGAGTACAGGCACAACGTGACTTTGCGGTGCAAAGTTACTGAATCTGCGTCCGGATTTGAGATGCAGAAGTCTTTAATATATAACAATCCAAATATTCAATGACCCAGACAAAAAAATATATATAGATTTTTTTAAGAAAACATATATAGATTATCAACTGACCGTCAATAAAAATATACAGAAACTCAACCTAGATGCGACAGAGAACTCATACATTCGCTCTGAAGCTGCATAGGACGATCCAATCAATTTGATGACCTAAAATAAACAGCAGCTCCAGGGGGGCAACCAAAAACCTAATAAGAGAGTCTTCAAAATCACGAGATCAATACTAAAACAAATACCAGCCAGCTATGACTGGTGATCATCAGGCGACACCAAACCATCAGTCTCGTCAGTTTTGAGCTTGTTCGGCGAGACTGAAAAATAAGCCAAAATACTGTTCCGACTGATGGTTGTGAGAGAAAAATACTGTTCTGACTGAACAGTGTCCATGTGAGTGCACTGGCCAGCCCAGCCCCAGCCAGCCAGCCAGCCAACTGAACGAAGCCTTTGCTGCTGGGCACCAATTTCAGCAATGGCAACAACTTTGTTTAGTCTCATCACATAACGGACCAGAAATCTCAGGGCACATGAAAGAACAGCAGAAGCTCAGGCTGCTCAGGTACCAAAATCAAACTAAAAAAACCAAATACTAGCACCATGCATAGCTCATGCACATAATACACGAGTCCTGAAGAGTAGATAATAGTTAGTACTATGGTTCAACAACAAATCACTAATGTTCTAACTAGACATCAGATAATATTTCAGAGTAAATAATACATAGTGTTACATAATCCCAATACACTAACAAAGCTAAGACGGTTTGATTATATAGGATCAGCAGGAAATATCCATGTTGGATGCCACTGGCCACCGTTATAATGCGGCACTGGTGCGTTCTGAGACAACAGCGGAGTAATCATCCCATTTCTGATGTTGTACACGCCAGAGTCACGAAGAGGATCTCCGGGGTAATCTGGCCAAGGATAGTCACACATGAAATATATGCAATCCTCTTGAATACCATTGTACCCATCAACAGCAAGAGACTTAGAGCAATGCCGGCCAACGAAAAGTGCATGGCCACCCAACTTATTGACTCGTCTCCATTGACCAGGATTCGTGCTCAAATCTGCCTCAAAGATAGTAAATCCAACAGTGCGATCATGCTCGAAGAAAAGACTTCTGGAAGAGGGACAATCATTGTGAATAAATCGAGTAACCCTCAACAGCCTATCACAACATTCAACTACATATTCCCTTATCATATACGTCTTTTCTCTGGATAAGGAGTGGGGCAAGTCCCGTAAATGCTCCATTGGGCTGATTATGCGTTCTGTGGATGAGATCTTAGGTTTATTGCCAAGGTCATAACCAATCTCAAACAAAAGAAGCCTGTCACAAGAAGCAACTCCATACAGCTTTCCATTGAAGAACACAACATCATGCAGGTACCTGGACGGTTCCATGCTCCCACCTGTGGACATGTCGGTAGCAACTGGTGGCTGGCAAATACAAACTCTACTGCCATTACCATCGTCCAAGATCAGCACAGCAACAAGGGATTCTGGTGAGGTGTCTAGGCGTGAGGGAACCACCACCTTATAAAATAGAGGATTACGTCGGGGGTAGTCATTGAACCAGTCTTCACGCCAAACAGTGGCTAGCTTAGGAAGGTCCAGTGTTGCTTTTGAGAAAGGATTCATCAATGAGCACCCTCCATCTATTTGCATTAGGAAGAGCCAGTTGTCAATGGAACCATAGCAGCGCGCATCATCTGGTACAGCCATTCGGATGATTTCACCATCTGGGATGCTCAGAAAGGTCCCATCAAGGAGCGTGAGCCACGGGAGTGGAGGGGGTAGGGACTGCAGTCTAGCATTGGAGCGCCATGGGTGACAGACTGCTCTCAGTCGAACACGATCAGCTAGGGAGGGGAGGCGCCTAAGGACAAGGCCCAGGAACTCTGGAGGGAGGTCTGACCAAGATAAAGACTCTGCAGCTGCCATCATCAAGTTCTGCAAGCGAATTCATAGGGTTCAGAGTTTAACATAGCGAATGGTTGCAAGTAACACTAAATAATTTAGCAGTACAATAAAAAATGAAGATGATCAGCAAACCATTATACCAGAAACAAAGTTAACTTGATGTACACAGTGCTACTTATGCTTGATCATTGCAGTCTCTAACGGGAGCATCAGTTGCCCAGTTAGCAGGAAACAATCATATCCATTTGTTTGGTAACAAATAAGGTACTGCAACTACACTTAGGTTTGTTTAGAACTCATGGTGCCAAGCTAAACTGCTAAAGTAGAACCCACTATCTTCTCCAACGACAACCAGAATCAAGTAGAAGCAGGAGTACAACAAATTGCGAGGAAAATACAATCACATTTGCAACGACCTAATGTTCTCACGATAGCAATGTTGCAAGGTATTCCACTTTTAGATGCAAAAGCCAGATGGCATTTTGTATTTTTTTTATAGCAGGGGCATACCCTCAAGATACAAGAGCATCAATAAAAACAATTGTGAAGTCAAATATATTACTATTCAGGACAAGTCGTGCAATTTCTTCAAGACAATGATTCAGAAACTATAAGTACTTCGTATGCAGTTATGCACTAGATCTCAGTACTGGTACTCAACATTGAAAATATTTTTGCATTATTTCCTTAGATATCTTCCGTTGCCAAGTTTAGATAGAACAACTGAAAACCTAGTGTTGGCCCAAAAGGTAGATCCGCCGCTGATTACGGCCCTAAACATGAGAATACGGAGAAAGGATCAATGAGGACTTGCCACTTACTCGAGGTGGCCAAATGGGCGGTCGGAGAGGGGAGGTGGTGGAGCCGACTCCGACGCCGGCAGGACTGCGGCCTGGAGTTCTCCGAGGCTGGGAAGGAGGAGGCAGCTACGGATCCACCATTGCAACAGCCTGAGATGGTTGAGGGATGCTGATGGGGTGCTGGAGGTACGGTAGCTGGTGGCCAGAAGGAGGAGCAGCCGGAGGAGGGAGTTCGAGACGAGCGTTGGGGGAGAAGCAAGGTGCGGTAGTGGACTGCACTGGGGAGGACGGGAGACAATCCAGAAGGACCTGTTGTCAAAAAAAAATCCAGAAGGACCAGATCTGAAAGAGGCTTGTCGTGGACCGTGGTAAAAAAGAGTCAAAGCGTATTAGTTATTAGGTTTAAGTAAATTTCTAAAAAAAAATCAATCTCGAACTAATATTTTTCTATGTTTCAAATTTTATTTTTTTTCAGCTATTCACTTGAAAAATTCGGACTTGCTAGCGCCCGGACGTTGCCGCGCAGAGGGAGCAAACGAGCGCATAGCGCGTTGGGCTCGCGAAGGTACGCACCAGCAGTGGGCCTGCGCCACCCCGAACGTCGTCCGCGCCACCGGCCGCTTCCCACGCGCATCCCACGTGTAACACCCGATCTACTTTTGAAACATTCAGAAGTTGCAACATACAAAAGAAGACAAATGAAACAATTAAAAAACAAGCGTCTGAAACACTTGCGAAAATGCCTAAAAAATATTTAAAAACCATTGCAAACATATGCAACATCTAGATGAAACATACGCAAACATACATATAAAACATCTTAAAACACTTGAAACATATGCTTGCAACATGTATGTATACGCAACATCCAGATCTACTTTTGCAGTATCCACATAAAAACACTTGCAATATTCGTCTAGAAGAGATGAAACATTGGGAACATACACTTGAAACATACGTGTATAGCCACTACAACATGTGCAACATCTCGATCTACTTTTGCAACATCAATATACAACACTTACAACATACCTCTGAAACATCTAAAATACTTGAAACATATTATTACAACATACGCTTTCAGCGTAGCATCTGCTTGCTGCTTAGGCGAATGGAGGCTCATCGACGCGGAGCCAACGCCGGTGCGGAGCTCAATGCTATGGAGTGACGTGGAGGTCGCCGGAGTGGAGCTCGTCGATGGCACGGACCTCAGTAGGGGTAGGAGCAGGCGAATGTAGCGCGGCCACGACAGGAAGCGTGAGTCCGGGCGGAGGCACGCGGCGCGGGCGGGCGGTGGGGACACAGGCGGGGTCGCACGGTGCGAGCGGGGGCGGCGCAGCCGGAGCAAAGGCACGCATCGCGCTGAGCAAGCAGACGACTTGGGCAAGGTGCAAAGCGAGCGGGCGACTTATACAGGGTCTGTCCGTCCGGACGACCTATAAGCAACATTACAGTGGAAATTTAAAATAGAAGGAGTATTATAAGCGGTTGTCCCCTCTTCTCTTTCTGGTTTGGAGTTGTAAAACATGTGCGTCGTCAGTTAACGCGCAAAACTTTGACCTTTTTTAATATCAAAATAGATATCCTCGTACAAGATTAATCATGGCCTTAGAATTTAATTACACTAAGGTCGGACTAAGTCCAATTAAATATGACAATATATATATCGTGTTGCATATCTATATACTGAATAATAAATACTATTAGATAGATCTCTATCTCTTCTCTACACCTAAAAAGTTTCCAGCGGAATCGTCCAACTAGGCAGAACCATCGCCCACCCCGTCTCTCGATCGGTTCCCTCCTTGCTGTGAAACCTCTAACGAAATACGGAAATTGATTTCCACAAGATTACGGGAACGAAATCGAGTCCTGACTCACCAGATCGACTCCACGCTCGCCATGCTCGCCTGCGTCTCGGCACAAACCTAGGCGACTGTTGGCGGTCCTTAACTCACACTTCTAACCGCCAACATTGATATAAAATCTATCCAAATGAACACCAAACGTAGAATTAGGGCTTACAACTAACAAGTTTCACAAGTTTTGATGATTATACATTTACAGGAGGACATGTCGGGATTGAACATAAAATGAGCCTAAAGTATATAAGAAACTTAGGAAAATATATACCTGGCATGAGCCCAAGGGACAAGGCACACAACCAAGGAAAATAGGGCCCAAAAGAGAGGAGAACAAGGATAAACCCACATCAAATCACGTCATCTTCGTAGAACACCACCAGGGCCCAAGTCCAGGAGATCATAGGAGGCATCCCAACAAAGATGGGCCAAATAGGTGCAGACCATGGTGGTGCGACCGCACCCCCACTGGCCCCGTTTGGCCCGAGACTTGGTCGGTTGATGCTTACCGCCTTGCCCAACGTCGGTATGGTGGTGTCACCCAGGTTCAATGTACTTGGAGGTCGGTTTGGTGGTTCCATGTGGAGGTGAAACAATTTCAAAGACACCCCTCCTCTCCACCTATAAAAGGAGGCTCCCTCCTCATTTGAACAACAACACACCAAGGCAAGAGCTACACCACAAGAGCATCATTCCAAAGGGTCTAGGCCCTAGCTAGCTAGTAGACTTGGTTTGGGAGAGATGTAAGGGAGAGTACGAAGAAGAGCCGAACTTGTCGGTGTCTCCCCGAACTTGTACCTCGGCGAGCACTTGTACCTCGATGGAATATTCGCTAAGTAAGTGTTCGGGTTTCTTATGGTATAAAGTCTTTTGATTAGTTAAGTTTTATTCATAGTTGTTTGTGGGGTCGTCATCCGTTCTCATAACGGATACTCTAGTAGAGGGTCCTGATAAAGATGGATAACCCTGCGCATGCTAGAATAGTAGTCAATAGCATAGACGTGGTGTATAGGCTGGTGGCTACCTTCGTTTGCCTCGTATCCACCGGTTGAGGGGTAGACGGCAAGTGGTGACAGCTCTGTCCGTCCTTCGTAATCCCCCATGTTCGGATATGGCATAGAGCTAAAGGCCGGTATCGCTTGGCAGACCAAGCGTAAGCTGGTGCCCGAAGTAAGCAAGTAGGAGTAAAGTTTATCTATCCTTAGACCCTAAGCCATAGGAATCTATCTCTACCCTCTCCCACTTTACCCTTGTGTTGTCCTTAGACGAATTAGCTAGAAAAAAATACCTCTGTTCCTTGTGGAAAATACAATACCCTGAATACTTTTAGGTGAAAGCTATAACGGTATTTTTGTACGCTTGTGGAATCTTTCTGCATTCGTTAAGAAATACTAACAAGCTTTCACTTGGCACCGTTGCCAGGGAACATTTGCTATTTTCTTTGAACTTAGTTCGTCCTCGTATCTGTATCTTTCTTTCTATAAAAACAAAAATATTTTATTTTACCTGTTCCATCATGAAGCCAACCTCAACTCAAAATTGTTCTGCTTCAAAAGGGGAGTTCCGTGAGCCACCACCAAAACCAACCCGTTCATCTAGTTATGAACTCCACCCTAGCTTAATAGTTATGGTTCGAGCACTACCCTTCTCAGGGCACGATGATAAAAACCCCTGCCATCACCTGCAAGAAGTCGAGGAAATGTGTTCATGCCTGAGCATCTCAGGCATGACATAAGAAATACTAAGGTGGAAATTATTTCCCTTCTCTCTCATGGGGAAGGTGAAGTAATGGTACACAGACGCCGTTGAAAGTACGAATGGGGATTGGGATGAACTTAAAGACAAGTTTTGTCTTGCACTTTTCCCTATGTCCCGTATCGGCTCTCTACCAAGGGTGATCCTCGATTTCGAGCAACGCGAGAAGGAGTCTATAGGTGCAGCCTGGGTTCGGTTTTCGATGTTAATACATGCCAACCCAGACTTGTCATTATCCGATGGCATGATTTTGTGTCTCTTTTGTTCGGGTCTTGACATAGATGCTGACCTATGCCTAGACGTGACTACCGGAGGACGGTTTACACATAAAACTATGATGGAACAAGTAGAATTTCTTGAGCACTTCATAGCCAAACACACTTCTTCCGTCATAAGAACGAAACCCCTCCAGGTAAAAGTCATGTCAAGTGTTGAGGAGTCTGTTGATTGTAGTTAACAACCATTATAAACCGTCAATATAACATACATAAGGGCTTAAATATAATCACCAACGAATGTTTAGGGGTTTAAACTAACAAATTCCACGAGTTTTGGTGAATCTGTATTTTCTACAGGGTTTATTCAGAAAACCATCAAGGTGGACCTCCATATCAGATTTAATCATGCTTATTCGCAGTGAAACGGACACCAGAAGGTTCTAGAAGACTCGAGAGGACTCCACGCCGAGGTAGAGGGGTAGAGGTTGTCGCCCTACCTATAAGTCGCCCACCCCCCTAGGCCCACATGTCAGCCCCTCTTTCGAATGTCTGTTCTCCATCGCCTCCTACGTTGCATCTACGCCGTTTTAAGTCAGTTTGATCCAAGGGCTCATGTTGGATGCTCCGGGCTATATATACTAGCTCCTACCACCTCCCCAGGAAGAATCATAACCCTAGTCATTAAGTCATTTGAGAAGATAGAAATCCTAATCATCCTCAGAGCTCCACCAATTCTAGGGCATAGCTAGTTAGGCTAGGTCTAGAGGGAGGCAAACAAGCTTCGCTTGGATTCCCGATCTTGTCATGGATTCCCGATCTTGTCAAGAGCGTGGTTTGGTATAATCTTTATACCCCCTCTCTTTTGTATCTCCATTATTTTTATATGCTAGATACAATTGTTATGACAATATTAGTATTCATCTTATTCATGTTCTTCGTTATAATGTTTATCATCTACTTTGATTATATGCTTAGTATAGTTGGATTATCATCATGTTCATGCATAGGTTCGTATAGCGCTCACTCTAAGGTACCATGGGTCAGTGGTCGACATTGTGTAAGCGTGATGCTTATACATTGTTTACCTATAGATACACCATATATTCTGGGTCATGTGGTAGATCATGAATGTGACACTCCCGTTAAGTCCTTTGTAGTCCACTCCCTAAATATAGGCGCACGTAGGGTCCAGTTACGAAGGAAGAACAAGCTCTATTCTTAATCTTCCTTAGTAATATCCCTTATGTGTAGATATGAAGATGATCTTATCAATGACTACTAGGTATAATTGCACTAATCAATGTATGCTTTGACTTGTAATATTCTACCTGACCATGCTAATGCCATAGAAAGGAGTACTCTAAGTGATTTATCGTTATCATTGATCAATACTTATCATATATCTTATCCTATGACTTACCCCTGTTATGAGTAGAACATTGGTTATGGTTTATTTCTCCATCAATAGTATAAG